TATGAAGGTTAAGATTGGCAGGACATGAAGCTCGTAACAATCTATCTAGAAATCTCTACATAACAATGAATGCCTCAATAAAAGGCAAAAGCCCACGTGGAAGAGCAAAAAGCAGATGAATAAATATTATCAACAAAGATGCAACAGATAAATGGAATGAAATAATCCAAGAAAGGAAGAAATAGATCAGACTTGTTAAGGCGGCTTAAGATCTACATGGTCAGTGATGGCAACATTAAAAAAAAAAAAAAAAAGAATTTTTTAAAAATAAATATGCACTAGGAAACGATATACGATATGAAGATGAGAAAGTTAACAGTTAATTTCTGTATATAAAATAGAGGAAAAAATAAATTAACCGTTTTGCATAAAAACTGACGTTATCAAAACGTTACAATATTTTCATTTTCTCATCTGGAATTGAAGAATATTCATAATCTCCAGAACGAAGGCTTTAACGATAACAATGCTTTTATTTTAATAAGCATGGCCTAATATATCATCAGGATACATGCAATATATCATTAACAAGACAGGCCTTATTTATAGTTGGCTAATTTATGAATAGTTAGGTCCCTTACACAAATAAAAGGAATACACTTCCAAAAGTCTATCTGTGGAAATTCTATTGTTGAGCGGAAAATGTATTTTAAGGGCGGAAGAAAAAGTTTTAATTCCCTCGGAGAGCTGGTCTTCCCTTCCATTCATCAGCCAGTTACAAAAGGCGATAATAAAAACAGATTTGCCAAGTACTACCCCCCCCCTTTCCTCTCCCGCTGTCGAGCCACCGCCTCTAAGTAATGACTTCTCATAAACAAGGAAAAACATCCTACTTTTTTTTTTTTTTTGGAGAAAAAGGATCTTTCCCCAATTCACCAGGACAATTCTAATAATATCGCGAAAAATACAAAAAAAAAAAAAAAAAAAAAAAAAAAGGAAGAAATATATATAAACTTCTTTTGAAAGAGATATTTCCTTTATAAAATATTCAGAGAAATGAATTAATAACGCCTAACGCTCGAGGAAATTTATAACGCTTGGCGTATTTTATTTTTAGCTTCAAAGTATTTCTATAAAATTTTATTAAGAAATAATGATTTATATTTGTTAAAAGAAGTTCCTTTTCCGGGTTTCAGGAGCGATGGATTTTTATGAAAGAGATATCAAACGAAAAGAAATTTCACGGAGAAGTGACGAATAGGGGGAAAAAAAAGAGAAACAATTTTTATCAAACAAAGCCTAACATGAGCACAGTTTAATCTATGTTTTAATAATATAAGAAAAGCAGACTTAAAACGAGTATTTAAATATTATATAACATATTATTTTGCACATACAGGGTTGTGTGGCCAAACTGAAAATATGAATTAAGGACCTCAAAACAAGAAAAAAATTTCCTCTGAAGGTATGTCCGCAAACGCTTTGTTTAGGAGATATTCACACATTAAGATTTTCATTGTTATGAATTATTTACGTTATATTTATATCAAATGTTGTTAAAAGCATCTTTCTCCAACAGCAGCAGTGGCAGAACGGTACTGGATATGTGTTATTGTTTCTCAAGATTTAATTATCCTTCTTCTCAAGGAATTAAGGTCATTCACCAGACTTTTTGTTTAATGTCATCCCCAAAAAAAAAATCCAGTGGTGTCAGGTCTGGAGAGCGTGCATATCAAGCCACTGGTCCTGCACGGCCAATCCATTGATTGAGATAATTAACATTTAGCCATTGTTATAGACCTCTTCCGTAATGTTCAGGATAACCATCTAATTGAAGCCACATGTCCCTTTAGTTGCAGTGGAATATGTTCAACTAAACCATAGTTATCATTATTAAGAAATTTCAGATATTCAACTAAACAAAGGCGTTGGCGATGGACATATCTTCAGAATTTTTTTTCTTGTTTTAAGCTCCTTACTTCATTTTTGCAGTTTGGTCACTTAACCCTGAAATACTCTGTATGTTTGGGCAGAAGGGATTCTTAAGTAAGTTCTCAGGAAAAAGAGAAAATCTGACTGGCCGAAACGGATATTTAAAAAAAAAATCGGAAACTCTGATCAAGACCCAGTGTAGTTCCTAAGGACTAGGCGTTTTAAATTAAAAAAATGTACCGTTTTCGAGTTAAATGTTTAGGTTTTAAGAATTATAATAGTGCTATTTATCGTAATCTTCGACGAACTAAAATCTCATATAAACGAAGAATAATAGTTGATAAAAGCGATAACTTATAAAAACCAAGATTTGAAATTAAAGTCCGAAATTATACTCTATGATCACTTGTGTCTTCGGATAATATAGAAACTTTTTTGATATTTTTAATAAATAGAAAAAAGGAGAGAACTAAACCGAGACTATTCTGCTCCAAATAAATAGGTCTTGAGTGTGAATAATAGTTAAGTATAATAATCTTATACTATAACTATATCTTATACTATAAATAATATAATAGAAAGCAGTGTGTAATTACGTAACTCAGAAACTGGATATATATGTTGAACAAGTTAGTCACTTATGTAGTAAATTGTTACTTTCAATCGTAGTAAAGTTAGAAGCGCTAACGATTGCGAGAGTTGAATAGACTATCTAGATAATATTCTATTGATTTTTAAGAATAAACATTTTTTACTTATGTTGCTTATACATCGAATAAATTAGGGATAAGAATAATTATCCTTACGTGAGTATAATATTTTGATATGATTGCTTTATTAATAATTTTGTGTAATAATGAACAATAGTTTTACCTTAATAACGTTTTAAACAACCGAAAAACCGGTATACTCAAGAAAATATATATGATATAATGGGTCCATTTTATTATGTCAGGATTTCCTTTTCGGATAAAAATCTAGTTGATCCCACGACCCCTTCTGATTGCTGAGCCTTCAAATACGAATGAGGTTATCGCGGAAAAAAACTATTATTGGAATTATAAGATTCCGACTGACGATGAGACATGTGGAGGAGTACTGTCAAATTCGGGATTAGATTTAGATAAATGATATTTTACGAGTTATATAACACTTAATAATATCAAATAATAGTCATATAACACACACAACATGGAAATACTGGTACATATTTAAAATTAATAAGGTGTTTAGTCCAGAGAATCTTCCTACATAATCGCACATCCCAACTTGTTAAAAAAAAATTCAAATTAATTGTTAGGATATAATTTGAAAAACTTAAGTATTTCTAAAATTTCAGTGAATTACTGACAAGTCAACAGTTCGACACAGTAAGCGTTTAAGATTTAATTCTTGGGAGAGGGGCGTTAATCATTCTTTGTTTTATTTTTTTTAAATAAAATTAATTAAAGAAAAAATAATGCTTTTAGAGAAATGTTTATTTCTGACACGTGCTAAATTCAGACTCATCAGCTGAAGTACTTGCGCAATCATTTAAAAAGAGAACATATTGAGATTGTTTAAGTGTTCGGTTCATAATCATTCATAAAATGAAACGTTAACTTTTATTTTTAAAAGAAATGATTTTATGTCATTTTGGAAGTTAGAACTATTTTCATGAAAATTTTCATTTAAAACTTTTTTTAGTAGAAGTTTTTATTTAAAAGTTCTTTTAAAGTAATTCACTGCCCAATCTTAATATGATAATTAGCCAATTCATTCAGAATAAATAAAAATTAAAACTTTAACAATATAACCAGAACTTTTTAACAAATAAAAGATTTATAGAACTTTTAGATTAATATTTTTTTCAACTCTGACATCTATTACAAGACCTAATGGTCCATATATTCAGATTATAGAATATGATTTAAGTATTTATTTATTTTAAATAGCAATAATGACGATAATGACCAACATTATAGGAATAAACAAAATGATGCGAACTGAAAAGTATTACAACATTTCGTCCATTGTTCAAGTTTCACAATAACCCTATTGTGCAATATTTTGCTAATTTGTCAACGGAGATTACTCATCGAAAAACAATGAATAAATGCTTATGTTTTTGGTAAAGCACCTTACAACTCAAATTAAAACGAAACCAAATTATTGTCTTTTTCATCACTTTGTATTCATGCTCGGATCTGACTCCCACCATAGTGTGTTCGCTTTAACATTCGAAATATAAATAACTAAATAAAATGGTTACATTAAAAAAGCTCTATGAATACTGAGAATTTCTTGACGCTGTTATGCAGCTTGTTCAGAAAAGCGTACAGTAGCATTCAAAAGATTATCCAAATTACAGAGAAAGGGGTGGCAAAGGATCTCCAACAGAGATAAGGCTCCCGACGTTTCGACTTCTAAACTATCTTCAGCAACAGGTGAGTTTTAATTGGCCTATCTCCACGCACACGACAAACTTCTCTGAAGTTCGCCTTGGTACAGTACATTGGCCACTTCATAATTTAAGGTCAAAGAAGCATTTTAATTACGGAAAGATCACTACACTTTTTTTATCATTTATTTTACTTAAGAGATATTTAATAATTAAAAAAGAGAAATATACCAGTATTACTAGAGGAAATTTTTATCTAATAAAATTTGTTTAATAACTATTTGATTGAGTATTTTTCTCTAGACTTAAGGACTTTCTTAATGAGCACTGCAGCATAATAACTTTGTTACACTCTGTTAAGAACGATAATACCAATTGAATAATTATTTATTATTCTTTATTTGTTTACTCTATAGACAAAATAACTGTAGGTAATTACTAGAAATTTATAAAGTTATAATAAAAAGAAGGAAAAATAGAGGGGTGAAAATAACTTTTGCGTGCTCTGAAATCGTAAGACCATTTTAGAAGGCTGCCAATGGGTGGTTCTCATCAAATTGGCAATTTCCGTTGTTCGCGTGAGCTGTTTATATTTATGAGGATTATTTTGACCATGTATTATTATTATTATTTATAGAATAGGTTAGATCACATTATATAGATCATCCACTCTCCTCAGAAAAAAATAAATCGGATGAAATTATATTACTCAAGCTTAAAATCTTAATGTTTGATTTGATTGACTCACCCCAAAGGCCGAAAACCGCTTGGTCCTCCGCCTCTGCTGCTGGTCCTTGTTGTTAAGGAAGACCTCAGACTTGGGGCGGGGTGGCTTCTTCGGCCTCAGGATGACCCTCGTCTCTTCCTGGATGTCCTCGTCCAGAAGCTTCGAGTCGGAGGACACGGACAGCTGTCGCTTGACGGTCTCCCGCTGGCCACCTCCCAGCCCCTCCCAGTCTCCCCCACACACAGCCCTGCAGTCTGAAAAGGAAAGGACAATGTCATTCATCGTACATAAAATATATATTTGCTTAAATATTGATTAAAAAAAAAAAAAAAACTAATCGTACAGCTGCGAAAACCCCAATTGTTGTAATATTCTCTTCTCTAATTTACCCAAGCTTTGTAATAATCTATTGCGATTATTTATACTAAAAAGCACTGGTGCTTTGTGGAAACAAGAGCTTTCACATCACATATTTACAATAGATAAAAAAAAAAACTGACGGCAAATTGGTAGTTTTTTTTCGGTAGCAGGCTCAAGGTTATTATTATAGGTTTTTATGGGTGATCAAGAGTCAGGACGAAGTCATTTTAAAGTTTTTTTTTATATATGCTATAGGTATAAAAAATAACTATGTCCTGACTATATCACCCATGATACGTCCAACATTCGATCAAATTCCCTCAATAATTTATTATAATCTTAAAGCATATAGAATATTAAACAAGAATGTTTTTCTAAGAGTAAGGAGAATCTGTAGTCTTGTAGAAGGCTTATAAGGAATTTTGTAATAATTCGAGATTTAAGTTAAAACAGAAATTAACGTAATTTAGCCGCTTGAAAGTGCTTTTCAAATGATTTTAAAAAGGAAAATTTACAATTCTTTTTTTATGTAAATTTTTTTGTATCACTACACAGAAATTGAGACTTAAAAAAAAAAAAATCTTCAATTTCCTATTTTTCTGCCCGGAATCGATAAACAGTTCATATAATATTTTTGGCAGATGTTGAAGAATGATAATTACTTCTATTAACGGAACACCGTAAACAAACTACATGATTATATTAATGAGTTGAACTGAACCAGAGGAACTGGTACTAATATAAGCGTCTGTAAGTCCAGCACAACTATTTTTATATAAAAAGGAAGAGGGCAGAGTAAGGACGAAGGACGCGCAGGAGTGAGGTAAAGGCATTTCAACAGCTGACTCAGGGGCATTTCCCCGGAGCTGACTCACCTGGACAACAGGTGAGAAGAGAGGACTACAATTTACATTCCAATACGGGCTCTTGTTTGTTCCTGTTTACAGGTTGCAAAAGTTTTCGTCATGTTGCTTGGTAGTGAACGCCTGAGTCATCGGCTAGCAGAAATCTGGTCACTACCAAACGGTAGTGAAATCGCAGGAAGAGATGTAAATATCTAAATACCACAGATATTTTGGGAATCTGTACATCAAACAATAATGTCGATAAATATAGCACCAATAGTCATCAAATGTATCGAAATATTAATAAATTATATAGATATTTCAGGCTCCAATGTATACATGTTGAACAGTACCAGGATTTTTATGCAATTGCATATTTTGACAAAGACGAGTCTTGGTCTTGCGCAAGAGTCTCGCAGTTACTTATTAGCTTATTACTTTAGAGACATTTCTGTATTTTTTTAGATATAAGAAACATAACTAAGCCCGAATGAAAACGAGAAGCGTTAAATGCAAAATTATATTGGTTATACTACTTATTTACAAATAGTAACGAAAATTGTCAAGGATTAGTAATCGATTTTTGTACCAGTCCATTTTTGCATACAAGAACAAGGTCTTGCAACAGTTAGGCGGTCTTGGTCTTGCAAGACCAAGACCGATTTTGGGTAACCTTGCATCCTACCATCGTAGGTCGTTTTCAATCAACAAATATATAATAAAATAATATTTATTATTATTTTAATTGTATAATAAAAAAGAAGAAAAAAAAAACAGAGAATATATGGAATAAATTCAAACTAGATTAAAACCACTCCGTTTCTGCATAAAAGATAGCAAAAACTAATAATTTATCAAATATATTTTCTTTTTTATAATATTGATCAGGTTTAATTTAATTTTTATAAATTTAGGCTGCTAACATTTTACTGTCTTACAACTCAATCGCAAGTATATTCGCAGCTCCTTGGTAATTTTATTAGAAATAGCAATAGCCCGCTGTAGAAATAGTATTGTCCGCAAAAGCCAAGTTCGTATTTCTCAGACAGTTACGTCAACGTGAAATCGGTTGGAAATGTAACGAAGCCATGAAAAAAAAAAAAAAAAAAAAAAAAAAAAATCAAGCAGAACGTGAAATTTTTCCTGAGCACGAAATGTTATCTGTGAATGTGGGTATAATTTTTTTGTTATTTATTTATAATTATTATTGATATTTGTTTGCTATAGAATAATTCTAAAAAAATACTGAAATATGTGTCATCGTTTTCATAAAAATTTTAACAGACGAACACATATCAATATAATTCATTAATAAATTTACAATAAAAAGTACCAATAATTAAAATTAAATTGTCCTGATAAAAAAGAATATATAAAATCCGAAGATAGTTAAAATTGTATATAAGTAATTCAAAACATTCTTTAAGTTAAAAATGTAGGTATACTTAATGTATTTAATACTATAAGTTCGTACTAGGTTTCTTCGTTTATGAATTGCTAACATGTTTTTCATTTTAACATATTCATACATTTTAAGAAAAAATACAGTTAAAATAGTTTATAAGAATAGTGTTTACTGTTATTGGTACAAAATTTAAATAGCCCCAGGTAAAATTACATTAATGACTGTGAATAACACATTGAAGCAATCTAATTAACTGAAACATATTTTTTTTTTTTAACGTCATCTCTTGTATCTTGAGCTGAATCAGCTCCAATAACAGCCTTTAAGATTGAATTCAGAGATAAGATTATCAACAACTACCGAAAGTTTAAATGCTTGATACTAATTTAATCGCTGAGTTTTATATAATAAAAAATTATTACTATTTAAAAAAAAAAATTATTGTCACACCAATGATCCATAACAAAAATTACAATTTAAAATAATAAAAAAATAGTATTTAATTCAGAATAGAGATTAAGTCCGAGCTGAGCTCCATTAAAATAATCATTTGAAATTATTGGAATGTTTTCACAAAAACACCCATCAGATAACAATTTGTCAATGCCAATGTATATACTGGGTCAAGACATTAATTTTTAATGTTATTCACAGGAGTGGCTTAAAAAAAAATTACAGTAACAGAGGAGAAAAAAATGTATATCGATAACAATAAGTAGCAGTGAGGCGTCTTATGTATCAAGCATAAACTAATAACAATTTCAAAGAAACATTGATTTAGTAAAAATTATTAGAAAAATAATTTATTAACTATTCAAAATTTTTTATTCTTAGGTAGCATATAAACATATTTAACCGGCCTAGATAGAAAAAAAGTATAATAACTTTAATTTAAGATAGAGAGTAATATTTAAATTTCAATAAAAAAAGAAAATATTCTTTATTACCGAGATAGTTATTTACAAAAAATACCACACGTATTACAATTCAAGTTCTTAAAGGTTTCAATAGGCAAATTATTCAGATTACATCAGTTCACAAAATGTTGACAACCGAATTTAAATTCAAAGTTTCATTTTTAAAAAGGCTATGATGTACAATATGTCTGTAGATGGCAAATATGATTTTCAAAGGTTATATAAATAAAAATTAGTTTCATAAAAAGTAATAAATATAGTTAAATTAAATTTATATAGTTATATAACTTAATATTAAAGTAATTAGCATAAATACATTACATTTAAAGCATTCGAAAAACATCTCAACCAGTGAAGTGTGGTCTCTCGAAGCCTTCACGACAGTCTGAGCCAAAACAAAGCGCTCCCATGACGTATCGATAAAAAAAAAACTCTTAAAACAATTTAGGTGATTTTTCGGTTATCGCTTTGATCTTTTCTTTTCATTTAATTTATCTACTATCTATTAACGAGTTTGATTCGGCGAAAAAAACAAAAATATATTTACACCTGATAGCGATAACTGGAACAACTATAGTATTGAGGATGAACTTGTATAAACAATAGTGTTTGTTCGCGAGCAGGCTGAGCAAGCATGAGGCACAATAGTTAGACGTTTAGAATAGAAGAATTGCGCCTGCAACACAAAGGCGTCCTTTCAATACATAACAAAAATATTCCGTAATTAATATCTTACAAAGAATCCTTTAATAAAGTATAATTAACAAAAAATCGGACCAACAATCTCTGCCACAGAAATCTACAATTCAAAAAAACCGAAATCGACCAGGCCAGGTAAAACTCGATCTACCACATCACATCTACGTTTCGGTTTAATCTTCCTTTTTCAGCGCTTTTATTTTGAGTGATTCATTCGTTATCCATCCCGACATTGTGTCACTTCCTTTGCGTTCACCACGACATCATTCTCCATCTGAATAATCCTCTGTTCATCCAAATACAAAATAATTTATTTTCAAAATAATATGGGGTGGTCCTTCAATTAATGTAAGCGGCCAATGACACGCATCCTTAAAGATAAACTTAAAAAATAATATATAATTCTGTAAATTATTAATTTGAGGTTCCTAAAATACAGTTTTAAATATCTAAGAATATAAAAAAAACATTGCGAATTATTGAACAGTGGATATTATTTACAAATAATTATATATCAAATATGTGTGACATGTCATGCTAAAGTTCTCATCAAATCTGAGAAAAATTAAAAAAACAAAAATTGCTTAAATAAGACTTTTTTTCTTTTTTGATTAAAAAAAATTTTTGAATATCAAATTATTCTTCAAATAACAATTTCGACTACTGCTTCTGTATTAGAAGATATGCATGAAGTTCAAAACGCCATATCTCTGCACGAATTAAGTTGTCCAATTCGATGATTTTTTAAATCATACTTCATTATCTTTCACATTATCAAATCAAAATGTGGCTACATTTTGAGTAATTTGCAAATAAAATTCTGCATTCATCATTTTATTTTTGGGGAAGTATGATATATATAAATAAATTTACAGGACTTGAAGGAGACTTAAGCCAAGTTATATTAAAATTGCTACGGCCGTTCCAAGAAGAAAATCTATAGCGACACGCTTTTTCCGGGCGCCATTTTGAAACGAAATGGTGGATAGTAATGTAAAGTTGAGAGGATCATCCTCGAGTGATTTCTT